ACATTTATTGAGTGCTTACCCTCTGCTACGTTTTTTATTTTAAAAAATTTGACAGATAACACTGTATTAGCATATTGTAATAGAAATTTACATGCAATGTAGAACATAATTATGTACAACTTAATGTTTCCAGTATATGTACATTGTGGAATAGTTAACTCTATCAAATTAGAGATGAACCTGGAAGACATTATGTTAAGTGAAATAAGCCAGGCCCAGAAAGAAAACACATGATCTTAATTTCCTTTGGTTCTATATTATTTCACTCGTGTGGAATCTAAAACAAGTTGATCTTGCAGAAATAGAGAGTAGAAGAGTGGTTTTCAGAGGCTGGGGCAGGGAGGGGAAGAGAGATGGGTAGAGGTTGGTCAAGAGATAAACAATTACAGTCAGGAGGAATATATTTAAGAGAGAGCAAAGAAAGTGAATGTTGAGTGTTCTCACCACACAAATGATAACTGTGTCAAGTAATGTATTTCTTTTCTTTTTTTTTTTTCCCCCGAGACGGAGTTTCGCTCTTGTTACCCATGCTGGAGTGCAATGGCGCGATCTCGGCTCACCGCAACCTCCGCCTCCTGGGTTCAGGCAATTCTCCTGCCTCAGCCTCCTGAGTAGCTGGGATTACAGGCACTCACCACCATGCCCAGCTAATTTTTTGTATTTTTAGTAGAGACGGGGTTTCACCATGTTGACCAGGGTGGTCTCGATGTGTTGACCTCGTGATCCACCCGCCTCGGCCTCCCAAAGTGCTGGGATTACAGGCGTGAACCACCGCGCCCGGCCGTAATGTATTTCTTAATTTGATAGCATTAACTATTCCACAATGTATATGTACTGGAAACATTAAGTTGTACATGATTATTTTCTACATTATATGTAAATTTCCATTACAATATGTTAATATATACAATGTTATCTGTCAAATTTTTTAAAATAAAAACATGTAGCAGAGGGTAAGCACTCAATAAATGTGAATTATTATTTTGATGTTGAAGATTATAGAGATGTGATTTTTTTTTTTGCCTTTTGTTCTTCTCCTTTAAGTCCCGATTTCCATTTTTTTTCTTTTTGAGATGGAGTCTCGCTCTGTTGACCAGGCTGGAGTGCAGTGCCTTGCCTGGCTCACTGCAACCTCCACCTCCCAGTTCATGCGATTCTCCTGCCTCAGCCTCCTGAGTAGCTGGGATTATAGACACGTTCCACCTCATCAAGTAAATTTTTGTATTTTCAGTAGAAAAAGGGTTTTACCATATTGGCCAGGCTCATCTCACTCCTGACCACAGGTAATCTGCCTGCCTTGGCCTTCCAAAATATTGGGACTACAAGCATGAGCCATTGCATCCAGCCCTGTCTTCTTTTTAAATTCTTGTTTACTTGTTATATTCCCTTTCTCTAAACCTTCCTTACTCCCTAAGGGTAATCAGTGGAATATGTAGGAACTTGTGCATTTGAAGAGAGAACTTGTTCATGTCCAGCTAAAGACTCCTGGGGCTATACAGCTATCTGACCATGGAATATGTTTAATGCCTCAAACTTTGTCTTAGCAAATGGAGAGATTCATTCAGAAAGCTCTATAAGTCTTTACTTATCCAATTAATATGAGTGTTTTTAGTATTTTAGAGCAAATCTCTTTTTTTGAAGTTATTCAAAAAGTATTCATTAATCAGGCAATATGTCAGTCACAGGGAGTGCAGAGATGAATGAAATTGATTTATTCCCTGTGTTTATTTGGTTTACATTCTGGTATAAGAACTGCCAGAGTTATGAAACCCCAGATACCTTGTTCAAGTCAGGGACAAATTCTGAAGTGCACTATTGCCTGAAATCATCCATTTGCTTGGCTTCCTCATTTTTCCTATTTTACTTCTTCCCCTCTTACTGTTTTCTTCTGGGAACTGTTCCTTAAAGTTTCACTTACGTGAAATTCACACCCCAGGGTCTACTTCCAGGGAATCTACACTAAGAAAATGTTCAACAGGAAAAGGTGAACAAGCTTATGGATATAAAGACACTGATTCCCCAAGTCAGCAAGTGTCTGTCAACAATTGGCTTACCTTAATGATTTATGAAAATTTCTTTTGCTTCTATGTTATTGGTTAAAGAATATGATTGAGCAGGTAAAGTTAGCTCTAGGAGAAGAGTTCAGAGTCACAGACTCTTAACCAATTCCAGAAAAATGTATCAATTTACCTAATCCCCTACAAAACAGCACACATATGGGGAAGGGATGTGCCATTGGTGGCAGTGGAATGGCTCCCTCTTCAGAAGAAGATTCTCTAGTAATAGTGGCAGACCTTACAGTACTTACAATATCAGAAAGTTTTTCCTATGTACTTCTTATATATAAACTTATTTTGACCTCTTACAAGCTTTCATACCTCATGATTATTATTAAACATATGAAGAAACTGAGACATAAACAGACAAAGTGACTTGTCTCAAGTCGCATAGCTAATAAGTGGAAAACCTGGGATTTGAACAGAAATCATCTGGCTTTAGAAAATATTAGTTAATCACAAAATAATGTAGCATTTCAGGTCATGAAATAATGGAATGCTAACTAGTATTAGCATAATCATCAGAAAAACAGGAGCAGCAGCACTGAGTATACACCGTATGTCAACATGTCCAGGCACTGTTTTATAGGTTTTACATATATTATCTTATCCAAACCTTATAAAGACTTAGATAATAATATTATATCCATTTTTAGAATTGGGAAGCCCGAACCTCAGAGGGTTTAAGCAATCTACCCAAAGTCACAGTTAGATAGAGGCAAAGTCAAAAGGAGAGCAAAACATACTGCATTTTCACCAGAAAATTATGGGCATTGTAATGCAAAACCACTTATCTTACTCTTTGTCTTGTAGCAACTGAATTATCTTAGAAAAATAAAGTACATTTTCGAAATTTTACTTAGAAGTAAATGATGTTAGCTAAAACTTTTTACTTTTATTTACTAGAAAAAACAAAAAGAACATTTTCTACATTTAAAGATTATTTTATTTTGATTACAGAGAGGTTCTCTTATGTTCTATATGTTTTATGGTTTTAATTTTTATATTTAAGTTTATGATGCACTTCAAATATTTTCGCATATGCTATGAATTAGCAATGGAGGGTTTGCCTCTTTCTTTGAGTGTGGCTGGTAGGTGGTCCAGGACACTTTATGAAAATAGTATATTTCCCTATTGAATTACCTTGACCATATATATGTAGGTCTATTTCAAGATTCCTTATTTCGGTACCACTTTATGTTTATTATTGTAGCTTTTTAGTAAGACATAAAATCAGTAGTGTACCTACATCAAATTTGTCCTTAGTTTCAAAATTGTTTTGCCTACTCTAGGTCCTTTGGATTTTCCTATGAATATTAGGAACAACTTGTCAATGTCTTATAAAAGACCTGCTCTAATTATGTATGGGACTGTGTTGATGCTATAGTTCAATTTAGAGAGAATGAAAATCATAACCACATTGTTTTTCTGTCCATAAACTTGTATATCACTTCATTCACTTAATTTCTTTAACTTTTATCATTATTCGTTTGTAGTTTGCCTATCTTTGATTAAATTTATGCCTTTATAGGTTATGTTTTATTGATTTAAATTTTTAAATAATATGCTTTAATATTTTAATATTTTTAAATATTTTTAAGTATTGCGCTTAATTGTTTGTTGTTAACACACAAAAATACGATGATTTTTTAATAATGATTTTATATCCAACAACTTGCCTAAATCATTTATTGGTTCTCACAGGTTTTTATATTTTCTAAAATTTTCTATGTGTAAAATCATATTATCTATAACTAGAAAGATTTCCAAGTTCTTACTTTCTACTCATTATGCCATGTACTACTTTTTTCTTACCGTACTGAAATGGCTGAGGCCTCCAGTTAAATACTGAAAAGGAGTCATTAGAGTAAGCCTCATATATATTGCCCAATTTATATTTGTTTACAGTGGCAGGGCTAGTCTGGTGTCAGGTTTTCCATCACAGTGAGAAATGGACAGCTGTAAGAAGATACTTATACATTTTACCAAACCAAATTGAATACCAAATACCACCTTAATTGAAGATGCAGTAAGTAGTCATTGATAACCACATATGATTTATATATATATATTTTTCTCATTAATAATGCTATCTATTCTGGTACCATTTTGTTCTATTCAGATGCCTAAGCCTAGTGACAATTCTCCATAAAATTTTCTCCAGCAATATGTCCCATGTTCTTGACTGATACATGTCTTTTTATGCTCTTCTTAATATCTTTCAACAGTTCATTATTTAAAGTGCCTGTCCTATGCCATTCAAATGAATAGGAAATCTACCATGACATAGTATAAAAAGTATGGACTTTAACTCAAAAGGAATTTACTTTCAGTTAGTGCCAGTAGTTCTTACTGGCTTGGGGTCAGAAGGCTTTCTTAAGCCTGAATTTTCTCATTTATATAGTAGGTTTAATGCTTACCTTGCACCGCTGTTAAGAGCATTAGGGATGCTATGTTTACTGTGCCTAGCACAGTTCTTGACATGAAGTAGATTGTTCGAAAAACAACATCAGTTCTGCCACATTAATTACAGTACTCATATTGAACATCAATTTCACATAACTGTATCAATAAGAATGGAGATCCTCTGTCTCCCTTTCACGTTCCTGGGCCTTCTTGATTTAAAAGTGATGTTCCTTCCAGTCTGCACTAAAATCCAGTCCCCCACAGTGGTTCTATTCTGGATTATCTAATCGAACCTTTGCAAGGTCCCAGCCATCCCAGCTCAGTCTCTTAAATCCCCCACTTGCAACTTAAAAGTAATTCCCTGAAAACTTTGTTCTTCAACCCACCTTAGTATTCCCAATTACACAATTTTATGCCTTGACACAAAAGCTCCACTCTCATCTATTATGTTAAAATTGGCCTATTTGAACCAGAACCCAAAACATTAGCAAATAACATATTTTATGGGGAGCTCAGTATTTAAACAGTATGCCTTACCTCAGCTCCCCCAAAGGAAAAGACACTGGATGCTTCCTGGTTGTGGATGATGGAATACCCATCTCTTCCTCATCCTTCAGATAAATTTTTGAAAATGCAGACAACCATGGCAATGAAAAAACAATTGCTGTTATATTAGTACCAAGCTGAATGTTCATGTTTTTCTATAAGAACATTTATGTTAAATCAATGTAATTTCTCTTATGCTCAATTTAATAAGAAAGTTTGAAGTCATCACTTTTGGAGATTTCTCAATTTCAACTTCTATTTGAGCTATCTGAAATGCATTAAATACAGCCTCACCAAGAATATGGAAATAGGTGACTTTACATATTCATTTCAAATCTAAGAATTCTAAGATATAGAAAATAACTATTAAATTATTTTAAAGATGATCCAATACAAAGCAATTTTTGATGGCTCTATAACTGGAAAGACCATGATGAGGACAACAATTTCACATCTAAATAGAAGACCTCCATAACCCATTCTGGGGCAGATCCTAATCTCAGTACAAGAGTACCTCAGACCCCTATGGCAACCTAAGTTCCAGTTCTGGGGAAGACAGAAGATGTTTACCAATGTCATCTCAGTGATAAACATCTTTAATAAGTGCAAATATTAAGTAAAACCTTTGTGGGAGGTCTGATTTTGAGAGGAAGAAAGAGAAAGAAAGAGAGAGAGAAAGAGAAAGAAAAAAAGGGAAAGGAAAGAAAAGGAAAAAAAGGAAGGAAGGAAGGAAGGAAGGAAGAAAATCTCCCTGAACAGGTTAATAACTGGCTCAAGTGAAGCACCTCACAAGATGTGAAAGCAAAAAATAAAAAAGTTAAAAGAATAAAAAATTTATTTCATGTCAACTGTCACATAGGTGTCTTATTCCAGATTCCCCCAAAGCAAAGCCAGAGCCAGATATTTACAGGCAAGTATGTGTAAGACCGGTTGACTTGCCAGGAGTCAAACAGACACATTTATCACTCTCCACGCCTGATAACTGCGTCATCACCTGAGCTCATTATCTGGCTTCCCCACATAGCTTCCATGCACCCGCCTCTGCATACCATGCCCAAGCCCACACTCAGCACTAAATTATGCATCCAACCTCCAGCCCGCTGTTAAAAAAACCCTGCAGAAAAATTTTTTAAAGAAGCCCCACCGTACCCTGCCCAGCAACAGCCTGCCCCTTATGCCTCTGGCAGGCCCGCGTACCCAAGGTCCCGCCCACCTACCACTGGCAACTAGTTTCATGTACTTCCTATTTTAACTCCATGTACTTCCTGCTCCTCAACAGCCAAAAGAAATGCCTTCTCTTTGTTTCCCCAGTAGTCAATCAAGGCCCACCTACCCAAGGTCCCACCTTCCTACCAATGGCAGCTAGTTTCATGTACTTCCTACTTTAACTCCATGTACTTCCTACCCCTCAACAGCCAATAGAAATGCCTTCTCTTTGTTTCTCCAGTAGTCAATCAAGGCCCACCTACCCAAGGTCCCGCCTGCCTACCAATGGCACCTAGTTTCATGTACTTCCTACTTTAACTACATGTACTTCCTGCTCCTCAACAGCCAATAGATATGTCTTCTCTTTGTTTCCCCAGTAGCCAATGAATTGCCTGCCCTCCCCATAAAACCCCATGCCCTAAACAGCTGGGCATGACTTCTCTGGCCCCCCTTGGAACACCAAAGTTCCCCCAGGAGCTGAATAAATTAATTTCTCACTTTCTTAGGCTTGCCTCAGTTTCCTCATTTAACCTTGGCAATAAATAAATCTTACAGTATGTTTTGTCCTTGGAGGAGGAGGGATTGATACTGGGTAGCAGAAGCAAGAGACAGAAGTTACACTAGAAAGATGGAAATCCAAGATAGAAATGTGTTACTCCATTTGTTACCACTATGGGCAATTGGTGCTTCTTCTTCCAAAACATTCTGAACAGGTTTATAAAATACAATTTGGAACTTTCCACTCAGGGAACAAGAGAGAGAAACATTCATCCAGTGTTTTGCACTGGTCAAAGATTGACTCCACAATTATTTTTCTTACACTTCTTAGTGACACATATTGGGGTACTGGAAGAGTTCTCACAAGAACCCTATGGTGCAGTGTCAAAGAAGCCATCGGTGAAAACAAGAGGCACAGAGAAGTGACACCAGTGTAACACTCTGAAAGTCTGTAGTCTTTAACCTGCAGAAATCTGATTAAATCCTGCATAAAACTGGTTGCAGAAATAGGGTCTGGAATAAGAGAAGAATTTGAGAAGATTTGAACTGGTGCACAGAAAGTGTTTAATAGACTAGGGTTTTTCCTGTCACTGATGGTAGTTCTTTTCAACCTTTGCAAATGGAGTTTGCTAATTAGTTGCCCTATTGAAATTGAATGTCAGCATGATGTTAGATAATTAAAATCCTCTCCTATTCCCAATCTCATTGCTCTACTTGCACCAGGTAAACTTTTAAAATGTTGCTTCTGAAGATACATCATCACACTCCACTGTAGAGGTGTTAGACTTCTCCATCTCTTCCTTGTCTTTCTGTGTTACAACTCTTTCTTTTTAAAACATGAAACATTGAAAGTGTTTGTTGTGTAGAGTAGCAGATTGGAAAGAGAGTATCTGGTGATATGAAGAGTTTTAAAATCTACAAATGAGTAACATTGAACATATTTCCTATTTGTATATCTTATCTACATAAATGTTAAATATTTTCCTGATAGAGTAATCAGAGGGCATCTCTATTGAGGACACTGATTTGATGGTGTTTGAGTATACAGGCACAGCACTTATGCCTAAAGCCCTGAGTTCAAGCTCTTGATTTTCTGTGGCCACCACGTGTGTATAAGGCATCCAGAAATGACATGGTGCCCCAGAGAAGGTTTGGGGAAGTACTGACAACATAGATGAACCCACAGAGGTCTGAGACCAACATGAATTTTCCCAGAGAGAGTTGACATGATCATGACAATGAACTTCAGCAGTGGGTACTAGTTCAATGCACCAAAGAGATAGTTAGGGCCAATTGTCCCTTTGCAAACCCATCTACAACCCAGGTTACACTAGCAACACTTGATTTCTAAAGTATAGCAACTCCATACATCCTGCCCTCAAACATCCAGATATCATCTTTAGAAGAACAGTGTGATGAAGAGAAACTTTTAAAAACAAAAAATAATTTACCCTAAAGATAGTAATATATTTGAACAACAGTATTGTAAAGAAAGAGTGTGAGTTGTTACTAGTTGACGATTTACATTATCATTGTGCATATGTGTGGTTGAATATTTTTTAAACCTTGCTATATAAACTAGCAAAATGGAGCTAAATTCCAGGCAGTGTAGCTAGAGGGGAGAGAAAAACTCTAGCATACTCAAGTGCCCACAAAGAACTCTCCAAACTGCACTTACAGGAGAAGCTGTGAGTGACTTGGAGGTTCAGCCAAGGGAGGGGCATGTAAAAGATGGATATACTTATATATGCAGTTTCCTTATTATTTCTTTTTAGAAACAAAAATTACTAATTGCCCCCTCTGGACAAATGGGAGCTTTGGTATTTTGAGTGTGTCATAGGGAAACTTGGAGATTATTTTCTTGATTTACGGTACAATTGCTCTTACCCAGCCTTCATTGCATCACATGGTGTCCCCTCTAAAAGTTTGGGCAAATCTAAAAGTGTATTTATGATAGCTTTAGCATTTCTCAAAATACAAGAACTTCTCAATAACATTATCTGTACTAAAATATTTCATTGTAAGCATCTTTCATATTAGCCAATTTTATGCTCTGTGAATGTATCTCGTGTTGTCAGGGAATTTGGGCTTCAGGTTTTTTTATGAAACACAATAAATTATACATATTACATATTTCATATCCTTATAGCCAGAAAGTAAACCTGTCACCATGCAATTGAAAATGGGACCCTGATTGATATAGTACTTTGCCAAGTAGCCTACGTGAAGTGACTGACCCTCTTGTGATTTAAAAATTTATGTATCTCAGCAGTGATTATTCATCTGTCCATGCATCCTTTTTATATGACATTATTGCTTTTGTGTTCTATTTAATTCAACAAACCTACATTGAATATATTCTGCACATCAGTAGCTCTGCTTTGCTCTGGAGATAAGCGATTAAGACATTGTTTCTGTCCTTGCAGAGCCCACAGTCTAATGAAATAATCCAACATGTGAAAATTCCTGTAAAAAAAATATAATCAAAATAAATGATAAATCCCAGGAACTCCAACTACAGAATAAATCAAGTTTATCTGAAGATAAGGGAAAATGGGTGTATTACAGAAGGAGAAAATTAACACTGAGATAGGTATTTAAGATTATGTAGGAGTTTGCCAAGTGGACATGAGGCAGATAAAGTGAAGGATATGTACATGTTCCTGAGATAAAGTAGTGTATGTATAAAGACACCAGGAAGTGAAATAACCTGCTGTGTTTGGGGAATGGTGATTCTATCCACTGAATGAACAGAAAAAAATTGAGTATGAAAAGGAAGGAAGAAACCTAGTTATAAAGGGCACCGAAGTCCATGCCAAGGAATTTGGAATGACTTTTAATGAGATGTCAGGAGATGTTGATGTTACAAGTAATAACTTGCCAGCTGAGCATGAGGCTAAAATTAGATGCTTTTCTCCTTCAACCTAAAAAGTCTCTCAATATGGCCCCCCATCTTCTTAAAAATCAAAAGTAAACCATGAAATCTCTGGATTTGAAGCTTGGGAAGAAGAGAGAAATTTCATCATGATTGGAGAAGAATTCTGAATACCAAATTTATCTATTGAACAATACCATCTTTGACTTAAGGGAAAAGAATAATTAATTGGTCCTATCCAGTTGCAGCAATACCTTACCATTAATTATTTTATCTAATTGTTCAAGTGAAAGTAAGTGAAAAAGATTTCAGCACCTGCAAGTTTGTACACTGAACCTAACTCTAGTTCTTGGAAGAACTCTCACAAGCAGATTTACCCATAAGGGATAGTAGAGAGAAAATGAAGACACAAAATCAGTAAACAAATACATGAGGTCTGCCAAATGATTCTGTTTCCCCTTGAATGCTGTATCTGCACTAAATGCACGCTGATGACAAATAGAATGCCTCCATTTACTGGCAGGTTGATCCAGAGAACCCACAATTTCTGATGTATCACTCCAATTTCCGTACTCCGAAAACTATCCTCTCCTTACAAAGCTCTTTAGAACTCTCCCCTGGGGCTTTGTTGCCTACAGTGAATGAAAGACAGGCAAAAAAAGGAAGCATCAAATGGAACCAAAATGAGGAGAATAAACATAAAGGGCGATTTGTTGCTGAATGAACGCAGTCCTGTACTATTGTACATATGTCATTCGATCTGTGTTCAGCCTGGTCCCAGAGATCAATATGCATTACTAATCAAAATGGCATAGGAATCAGCGCTACAATCACCTAAGTGATACCAAGTGGCTTTTATTGTAGTTTCAACATTGACAGTCACATATGTTCTATTGAATTTCTTCAAAGGCAAAGATCAGTGAAAGGAAAAATTCTCAACTAGTGTTGGGAGGGTGTTTTTATGCTCCAAACTAATGTTTCCATGTGAAGGAATAGCCCAAGCACAACACACATGGCCTGGAATTCCACTCCTACCTCACTTCTCCACACATGACTACCCATTGTGGCTGAATACTGGTACGCTTTCCTCAGTTGTGAAGAGAGAATTTCTTATTAAGCAGTGAAGATTCAGTCTCTTTTCTTTTATTTCTTACCTGGGCCACTGAAGGATACTGATTTGAGATCTGCTCTGAAGAACTCACATTTTTCCCAAGGTGAGCTGTCCCAAAGAGATAGATGAGGGAAGAGGTGTGGCTTGTTGCCCACCTTTCAGGGTTCAATCTCAGGAGAGGAAGAAGCTTCTGAAAACCAATTTGTTCCTCAGGCCTGAGCCAAATTTCACAACCAGCATTATCAATCATACAGATGATATTCTGTTTTTATTTTTCATATGCTTCCATATGCCTTCTCATTTAATCGAGACTAATGCAGAATACTAATAAGTTATAGAAGTTGCAGAATCCTGGGGAGTAAATTCAGTACGATGATATATCACCTCATACTTGCTAGGATGGCTACTAAATAAAAAGAAAAAAAATAAGCGTTGATGAGGATCTGAGAAATCAGAACCCTCTGCAACTGTTAGCGCGATTGTAAACGTTGTAACCACTATAGAAAATAGTATGAATGT